TGTCAACTAATTCAAATCTCATTATTTGTGAATCTTGAGGTTGATTTTCCTTCATTATGGTGAAACAATGTTTCAGTTTCACATGCAAATTAATTACAACAGGTACGTCTGCTCACTCACAAAACTTAAACAGATGCATCTTTAAATAATTAAACGGCTACTTGTTGATGAAAATGGGAATTGGTTTCTTCACTGTATAGCGACATCACTACAAGAAAGTTTGGTATTTCTTGCCCATAAGTCAGGAAAGTCTTGTGGGTTTGGTATCATCATCAAATTTAGGCTCCTCATCATATTACTGTTGTTAATCTGTCATGGTTTGATTGACTATAATAATATAAAAGAATTGGATTCATAACACCTGATTGTTTCATGTTATTGTTGTTAATCTATCATGGTTTGATTGACTATAATAATATAAAAGAATTGGATTCATGACACCTGATTGTTTCATGTTATTGTTGTTAATCTATCATGGTTTGATTGACTATAATAATATGAAAGAATCAGATTCATAACACCTGATTGTTTCATGTTATTGTTGTTAATATATCATGGTTTGATTGATTATAATAATATGAAAGAATCAGATTCATAACACCTGATTGTTTCATGTTATTGTTATTAATCTATCATGGTTTGATTGACTATAATAATATGAAAGAATCAGATTCATAACACCTGATTGTTTCATGTTATTGTTGTTAATCTATCATGGTTTGATTGACTATAATAATATGAAAGAATCATGTTATTGTTGTTAATCTATCATGGTTTGATTGACTATAATAATATGAAAGAATCAGATTCATAACACCTGATTGTTTCATGTTATTGTTGTTAATCCATCATGGTTTGATTGACTATAATAATATGAAAGAATCAGATTCATAACACCTGATTGTTTCATGTTATTGTTGTTAATCTATCATGGTTTGATTGACTATAATAATATGAAAGAATCAGATTCATAACACCTGATTGTTTCATGTTATTGTTGTTAATCCATCATGGTTTGACTGACTATAATAATATGAAAGAATCAGATTCATAACACCTGATTGTTTCATTTTACTGTTGTTAATCTATCATGCAGTGACAGACTGCAATAATAATATGAAAGAAACTGTGTGTTCCTTCACTTCTGTTGTGTAGTGTATATATAACTAACACAGTTTCTTTGTTTCTTAGGACATATCAACCACAAAGAAGAAAGGATTAATCATATTCCTAATCTACGTTTTTTAATTGAAAGAGAAAGTGTATGAGAGAGTGCTTTGAGCATGATCATTCTTGATTTGACTTCATACTTCAGTGAAAATTTCAAATTTTAAGTGAGTCAATCATTGCATTGAGCAGAGTGTCACAGAGCTTCCAGGCCGTGGTGATAAAATCAGATAAATCCTGTCATAAATCTTAAGACATCATTACTGTGATTGTCAAGAATGTGAGCAGGGCCCCAGGCTACAAGCTTATGCTCCATGCCCGAGGATAAACGGTTGTACTTCTTTCTGCAGTGAAACTAATGCCTGTTCTCTTCTCCTCGTCTCGGGGGAGATGTATCCAACACAAATATTGTTGCAGACGATGCGGATAGCATCTTCTTATTAGTGTCATTGTGTCTAAACGGGTGTGTCATATGGACCATTGCTTCGGCAGATGGAGCAACCAATTATCTTGTGATTTGACTCCCCCCGAAATTGTTTCACTTGTAAATCATTGTTACTAAGGAAATTTGATAGAATATAAGCAGACACGTTGTTAGTGTAGTTTGAAACAACATTTCATTGAAAACGTTTCGTTATTTGAACTGTTAAACTGAAATAGCATTCTAGTGTCTCAGTATAGTCAGTGTTTCAGCTAAATTGTTAGAAAAAAATATAAAAAAATCGTACATGTTTTATCAGTAGATATGGTTTGACCTCTTTCGCTTCAACCTGTGAACACTTTAAATATTGGTTTGAAAATGTTTAATTGCTCAAGTTTGAATTTATCAAAATGTTTTTTAGTGATGTACATATTGTAGTAATATTTGTTCACGGAAATTTAGGTTTCCTAGATGTGATCATGTGAAGCAGAAACAATGAGTACTCTTCATCTTGATAAACTTTTAAAGTGTATAATAATGGCCATACTAATTGATTATGCCATATCGTGCAGTTGCAAAGAGTACTGTACGGGTTACTGGTATTTTTCTGTTGTACGTTTCATGGTGGGGTAGCCTAGTGGTTAAAGCTCATCACGCTGAAGACCTGGGTTTGATTCCCCACATGGGTACAATGTGTGAAGCCCAATTCTGGTTTTCCCTGCCTTGATATTGCTGGAATATTGCTAAAATCAGCGTAAAACCATATTCACTCAAGGACAACAAACAGGAGAAACCAATGTACATAACATATGGAGTCAATACAAGCTGATGGCTTGAGTTTTACATGTTAATCTGTATATTCAACTATGTTTTCTCAAAGCACAAGAAGGAATTAAATTCTTGAAAATAACGTAAATAAACAGTCAAATATACTTTGCTTTCATGAGTTAGAAATATGTACCTTATGTGCATGTCATCCAACATTGTGTGTTAATCTTTGGGTTCAACAAGATCTAATTTTGACACCTTTTTGGATGAGTCGCCTAAGGTCAAGAATCTGGTTGTGAGCTTGATCTTTGATCACTTGACCCAAGGGCAGAGCACTCCTTGCACTGCCACCATATTGCAACCAATGACCCCTCAGGGCAACCACGGCAGCTAAAGAGGTGATAACATCAGGTGATATACCCTGCCGGTTTCTAACCTCTATAATTCCCAAGTAGTTGGAGGCAACAGTTGCAGCGTACTCTTCACTTAGTTTTCTAATTTGTTATAATTACCCAATTCTACCCAGGGTTGGCAGGGTGGCAGGTTTGTTGGCCATCGGGACAGGTTTTATTACAGCCAATCGTGGGGAGAGAAAAACTGATGATGAGGAGGATTAGTTGATGTGTGAATGACATAAATCACACTTTGCTCGGTTGTGTTTTCTCTGAATTTCATTGGAACACAGTTGACTTCCTTGTTCAGTGTGTGGTTCTTGCAGGTTGTAGGCTTGTGTGGACAAAGTAACAGTTACTTTTACATACTGACATTCAACACAATGGATTATATTTTTGATGGTAAGTTTGAAGTGACTTCTTTCTTTAACCATAAATACCCATTGTTTTTTGTTTCTTTATTTAATAATTTTGTCTTATTCAAAAAGGAATAATGTATATTTTATTTTATTTTTTGTTTCCTATAGTTTGCTTTTAGTTGAAGTGTTTTGCTAATTTCTTAAATTATAGTATTCTGTTGCAGAAATATGTTTATGAAACTCGCAATGTTTGGTGGTATTATTATATATTGTTTTTTCTTTTATTTGTTTGAAACGTTTGTCAGAATTCAGCAATAGCATTCAGAGATTGACAGTTCTTAAAAGTAAAACTATTATATGCTTTTTTCCAAACATTGTTTCAAATGAAGAAATGTCTCAGGACCATAGAATAAAACATGGTCAGTCAGTTTGAAGTAAAATTTTGTGATTTTTATGACATAACATCTACTATGGCGTTACAGAGTTTCTGGAGACTGAACAGTATGTTGTTCTCATTCAAGAATGAACCTGCTTTGTTCCCGAGTTTAGCTGTTAATGGAATCAAGGCATATACATATGAAGGGATTATTTGTAAATAACTCAGCTCAACTCAAAATCAAATTTGTTTGAGTAAAAGGGAACAAATTCAATCTATATTCATTCAGAAAATCCTAATTTTGTATTTTGATGTTTTTGTATTGTTGTTTCTCTGATTTAATAGTTGACCATCAGTATGCCTGAACTATATATCATCATCTTTGTGCGTCGATACATAAGCGACATAAGATAATGGCTTGATTAGAATTTGAATAAAATATAATTTATCATTAAGTGAAAATATTGATTTCTAGATGCATTCATCAACCATTCTTGAGTCTTTTCAGAAAATTGTTCAATAACATTGTTGAAAATGCTACAATATTGATGCAACCTTTACACTTCTGTCAACACAAAATTTAAAAGTAATTCACAAAATAATCTGCTTTTCTTCCCTCCAATCATTGTCAGCATTCTCATTTCCACGTGATTAACGAGGTGGCTACAACCTAATTAGAAAAATAATGTAAATGCTATTGTCTAGTTTGGCTGAAGGTGATCGTCACGAATACATTTAAACAATTATAATTGCCTGCCGTCCAGCGACCACGGGGGAGAATGATCCCGTCAATATCACTATATTGTCAACGCGTGAATCGCCGAGACATCTTTATCGGCTGAAGAATCTAATGGTTTAAATGCAGAAGTCACAAACTCGTAAGAGTGTGCACTGCCGTTTGAATTGGTGATTGACTGTTCAAGAAGGGCAATGATAGAGATCTTCCTCGCTTCGCTAGTTTTCCTCTCTGTGTGCCAGTGTTAATGACAGGCCCTTTCAAGGCCTACTTCAACGATTTGACTTTCTTAAACATGAATGAAAAGATCGGCCATTAAATCTTTCAATTTTTTTTCTGTTGGGAGATCAGAAAGCAAATGGCAGGGAAGAGTTGGGCAGTATTAGTGCGTTAATTGATCCCTCTATGCCAGTTTTATGACTCGACAACATGATTGCTGTTTCTGGGTGTTGGTGTTCCAGCAAGGCCGAGAGACACATTAGCACTTTCTTCCCATCATGCACTGCTTTGTTCACAGAATACAGAATGGACCGACAACTTCTGGACTCATCCATTAGACTCCTAGAATAGTTGTACTAAGATGCACAATTACTGCTTTTGTCTTGAAGACTAAACGTGTTATGAAGAGATTATTCATGATCGGCTCTAAGCTAAAGAGGAAGATTTCAGTGTTTTGCATTTCGGTGACTTTTCATGACTTTTGGTAGATTCTTACGTCGTGAAATCAGGCAATTTATCCTACATTGGTGATGTGACTGACGGATTATTGTTCCTTCTGCAGATATCGAAGACACGGCTTCACTCACCTTTGATGCAGATCTTGTCAAAGCAGGTACGTCTGTTTCCTAGTCAACGATGTTTAGTGTACAGGTAGAGAAGCTCATGTTATAAAACATTATCTGACTAGGGATAGGAATTTAAATAGTTTGAATAAGACGCTTGTCCTTTTAACATATAACACATTCAACTATAATGGTAATATTTCATAAATATCTTACATATTCTAAAATACATCTGTCAAAAGTTAAGCAGTGAGGGGCTCTTGGCCCAAATATTTTCTGCTGTAGTCTTTGAATCTAGGAACATACTGACTGTATGACTTAAAACGCTGGATCCATATCAGACATCCCTTGACTTTGATGCTGAATTTCGAACATGGGAATGTAAATATTATCTTCAATAATAGTGTTCTTCAATGGTGGAAGCTGATGCTACTTTTAACTTCATCACACTGAGTCCCCTGCCATAATATTGCTGGAATATTTCTAAAAGCGGCATAAAACTAAACTCACTCACTCATAACAAAGCACTCAGTGTTTGACAAATAGACACGTGCAAATGGCTGTCAGAATTTTAGAATAAATCAAGGTATGAGATACCAGTGTCTTAATTTTATGTAACATTCGCAGAGCAAAATGACTGACATTGTGGGAATATTTTAGAGAAGAAAATACATATATCTTAAGTTTTCTGTTTATACTTGAACTTACTGCTCCTACTTGCTACATGAAAAAAGTTTGTCAGCATTCAACAATAGCATTCAGAGAATGGCAAGTAAAAGTAAAATCATTATAGAGCTGAGTTGTAGAATTAGTAAAAGATAAGAATTATGACAATGTTATGATGGCAATATAATTCTTATGATGTCCTCTTTAAAAATAGATACTGTTTCATTTCCCCAGAGAACAGAAGGCTGGAGGTTTGATCCCCACTGCATCATACCATAAGATGCTAAGAGATAGTACCTGTAGTTACCCTGCTTGGTGTTTGGTATTAAGGAGATAAAGCTGGGAACCGCCAGCTAATATTTGTATATAGTGTGTCGGAACAAGGTAGCCATGTTTAAGCCAGTTCAATCTTACTTCGGGGCGGTGGGGTAGCCTAATGGTTAAAGCGTTGGCTCGTCACGCCGAAGACCTGGGTTCGAATCCCCACATGGGCACAATGTGTGAAGCCCATTTCTGGTGTCCCCCGCTGTGATGTTGCTGGAATATTGCTAAAAGCGGCGTAAAACCAAACTCAGTCAGTCAGTCAATTTTACTTCACCCATAAAAAGGAGATTAGGAATTAGAAAAAAAGCAGGGATTGACAAGTTATGAATAAATGATATAATTCCTCTGAATACAAAACCTATTACATCACAACCATAAATGATTTTGGCTGTCATCACGCTCAGATTCAGATTTTTAGATTTTCAGCTGATATTCTTTTCACTGTCAACTGAACTTAATCTATGTATGCAATTATAGAATCTGGCTGCTTAAGCCTCTTGCACGTGTGTAAGGTGGGAAGTGTCACTCTTTCCCTGCCTATGCTCACATCAATATCTGAAAATACACATTTCTATTTGTGATAAGCAGAGCAGGTTGTATTGAAGCACTCAGATCAGAGCATGTTAAAGTATGGGAGAGGTGTCTGATACACCCGTTTGGATTGACATGACGCTGGGGTCACAGGTTCCAGACACAAAACTCACCCCGATTAAGATCCTTTCGGTCAGCACATTAAGTTCATAACCTGCATTTTCTGTCAACCACCTTGTTAACTACTGGTTAAGTCAGTTTAGTGGTAGACATTCAGCAGAATTTACTTAATGCAACACATAAGACAAGGGGTAGCCCAGTGGTTAAAGTGCTTGCTTATCATGCATAGACCCATTTTCAATTCCTCAGCTGGCTACATTGTGTGAATCCCATCACTAGCGATGATATTGCTGAAATATTGTTATAGTGATGTAAAACCATACTTTCACTAACATAACACATCTCTTGTTAAATATGATGTGTAATAATATCCCATGCTGTATAATTGCATGGAATTTTCACATCTTATCACTGGAATTTACTATCATTGATACCTGTAAAGCAGGATATGCTTCCAGTCATGCAGGAAGTGACCTGCGAAGATCTGGGTAAGAATTGATCTTCAGTAGCCCATGGTTATTGTAAGAGGCCACTAACGGGATCGGGTGGTCAGGCTCCCTGCTTGGTTGACACATGTCATCGTAACCCAATTGCATAGATTGATGCTCATGCTGTTGATCACTGGATTGTCTGGTCCAGGCTTGATTATTTACAGACTGGAGCCATACAGCTGGAATATTGCTGAGTACGGCGTAAAACTAAATTCACTCACTTACTCACTCACTCACTCATGCAGGAAATGGAACAACTGATCAGGAGAAGACACCGTTGATGATCGACTTTCACAAAAATACTGGCAAAAAATTCTACATTTGATAGGAAAACAGTTAGTCCCTACTTTTGGTCTAACAGATTGATGGCCACATCTAGCACTGCTGGTGTCATAACTAAATTTCACAATATAATTTGAATTCCCCCTCCAGACAGCATTAAACTCACTCATTCACTATATAGTAAAAGTATGTGTTTTATGGTAATATAAATAACCCATCTTTATTTCTTTGGATGCATCTATGATTGGCAATAGGCTATTTCTCCTGGCCAGATAACATTGATTTGAGTTTTATTTGATACATTTTTAAAAATAATGTTCATCAAGCTTCTAAAAATTATTTCATGCACTTGTCACTTGCAAAGTTTCCAGTTCTCGAACTACTGTTAGTTTTGACTGAAACCATTGTTCACAATTTGTATCTGCTCATTTGCTGATATATGTACCAGTTGGTATTAGATGGGAACATTACTGCAAAACCTTATTGCCTCAAATGGCAGTTTGAGATATATACCTCTCAGGGAGCTGAGAATGTAGGGAATGTATAGGGGTGAAATGGTACACCCTTACCATGGTATGTATTGCGAGACAAGACCTTCAGTTCGATATAGGAGAACTTATTTCTGGCAAAATACCGACCATCTAGCAAAGAAATGCATAGATTTTGACAAAATCATTCGATTTCTAGACATTGTAGAAAAGGTTTTAAAAGATTAATAAAATGATGGAACAAAAACTGAAAATACCGAATTTTTGGATTACATAGCGAACCGAAGGCAAAATACCAGGGTTCTAACAATACTGCAGTATACCGTTTCACCCTTAGGAAAGTACACCAATCTACTGATAAAAGGTATAAATGTACTAAACTGAGTTGAGTTATCGTGATACTTAGATATGGTAACAAAATAACATATTGAAAACAATTAAATATTTCACCAGGTGCATCATCTTTACATGTGAAGCCCATTTCTGGTGTCCCCTGCCGTGATGTTGCTGGAATATTGCTAAAAGCGGCGTACAACCAAACTCAGTCAGTCAGTCATCATCTTTACATTATGAGTGATGAAGCTAGGGAGTGCTCATTTAAATGCTCACTATTTTAGTCACTGGGATAGGTGTTGTCATGTTGGTGTTAAGTGAGGAATATTTAGGATTTGAATTTTGCAATTATGACAAGACTATTTGTGTTTATGGTTATTAATGTTGGACTTCTCAGTGAAGGAAGTTCTCACTGCTTCCATCATTGAGATAGGTGTTAGCATGAAAGTGTTAATAGCAGTGAGAAATATGTTCGATTTTAAATTCTTAATCATGATAAGACTTCTTTTGTAATGGGCAATTTGACTTGGACATCCTCAGTGTAGTGCCCACCGTTTGGTCACTGAAAATGTTGTAACTGCTGTTTCGTACATATCTTACTTTCAGTCAACACTAGTATCACTAGTTTTGTCAAGTTCAATATCCAACTTGTAGGGTTTTTTTATTGACCTACTTCTGGCTTCAGTATTTTTTCATAAGAGACAATAATTTGGATAGGGTAAGTATTTGTTTCATTATGTAACATGGAACAATTCTCATTGGTGATTGGTGGTACTATTATTTTGAGAACTAGTTGTGTAGTTTACACTGGACCTCTGTTGAAGATAGGTTTTGAAGATAATTTTTTTGTGATTGCCACCCAAATAAAGGAATTATGGCAAACATCTAAAAGAGGTAATATTCAAAGAATTATAAACACCAATGTGCAACATGGAACACTTCCAGATTTTCCATAAATCAGACTGACACACTGTGATGTAGCTGAGAAACAGCTGTAAACAACACTCACTCAATAATATGATCTTTTCCAAACATGCAAATTTCTTTGCTTTTAATGAACATGATGACAAAGTCTGAAAATGCGTTAGGGATCTCACCTAAGTGGAATATATCAGGCATGCACTGATGGATGTAGCTCTTATATTAGCTATGTTAAACCCAACTCACTCACTCACTCACTCAAGTGAACACTTGAACCACTAGTATACCCCACCTCCCCCTGTTTTAGTAATAAACCAACATTTAGATCACTGTGACCCCTAAAAGAGGCGTCATGTACAGTGAATCATGCCATGGACTGAAATTAATTGTGGCTGTGGAAAGAGTTTTGTTTCGTATAGGTACTATTGGCCTGTGGAGAGTTCCAGTGCATTGGGGGCAGTAGGGTAGCCTAGTGGGTAAAGCAATGGCTCTTCATGCTGAAGGCCTGGGTTCCATTTCCCACATGGGTACAATGTGTGAAGCCCATTTCTAGTGTCCCCTGGGGGCCGTGGGGTAGCCAAGTGGTTAAAGCGTTGGCTCGTCACGCCGAAGACCCAGGTTCGAATCCCCACTTGGGTACAATGTGTGAAGCCCATTTCTGGTGTCCCCCGCCGTGATGTTGCTGGAATATTGCTTAAAGCGGCGTAAAACCAAACTCAGTCAGTCAGTCTAGTGTCCCCTGCCATGATATTGCTTGAATATTCCTAAAAGGTGTAAAACCATACTCATTCAGTCCAGTGCATTGATAGTTCAGTCTGTACCCACATTTTATCAACCTGCATATTTTGTGTATATGATCACAATCACTTTTACTGTTTCCTTTACACAATGTCA